CAAGCACAAGCCGTGACATCATCAACGCCGGCCGGCGCGTCAACATCGGAGCGACCGGCGATGCCATGTGCACGGCCCGCCCACACTGTATCATCGGCGGGGAGCGACGGAGAGCGTTCTGCGGCCACGGACGCCGCCTTACAACAGCGTCTGCCGCCTCTTAAAGAATTTGTCGGCGCTGACGGAGACTGGGGCGGCTTCAAGAGGCGGTTCATCGCTCATCAAGAGATGGCGAACTGGTCGGACGCCGAGGCCCTACGCGCGCTGCCAGCGATGCTGGACAACGACGCCCTGGCTACCCTCACCTCGGCGCCGAGGGAAAAGCGCGCCACTCTACACCTGGCGTTGCAGCTGCTGTCAGCCGTCTATGGGCCGCCTTCGGACTGCAGGCAGCTGTTCCACGATCGGAGTCGGGGCGCCAACGAGTCACCCCTGGCCTTCCGGACGGCCCTCCTGGCTCTGGCGAAGGCTGCTTTCCCAAGGATGGACGAGGAAGGAGTGGATGCCATGGTGGCCGAGAAGCTGCTGCTACTCGCTGACGAGCTGGACGTCAACGTCCTGGCTCAGGACGACGCGGAGATGTCGTCCCTGCTGGTCGCGCGCCACATCCACGGGGGCTTGCGGTCCCTGCGTCGAAAGGCGGCAAAGGGGGCGGCCAGCCATGCCATGGCGGCTACCGCCCTCCCATCGGAGGAGGTCTGCGGGGTGGAGCGGCGAGGGGAATGGAGAGCGGCGGCACCACAGGCTCGGAATGGACCGAGCCGCCAGGAGCAGCCCAGGACATCGGGGGCGCTCACACGCTGCTACAACTGTGGCCTGCAAGGCCACGTTGCGTCAGGATGCCGGGCTCCCCGTCAGCGCGGGGCGACACCTCGTCAGGACGCCACGCCGTCTCCTCCCAAGCTCCAGCAGAGAAATACGGCGAGTCGCGGCACCTCACACGTTTGGCCCACGCACACATCCGACACACACTCACGCGCTCAACCAAACAGGGCTCCAAATTCCCCGTCCGTCGCGCGCGATTGTTCTATAATGCGGCGAGCGCTCCAACCGGGTCAGTGGTCGGAGCTCGCCCATCGTGTCGTTGCTGCGTCGGCGGGATCATCGGTTGTGGTCGGTCATATTGATGGGGTAGAGGTGCGGATTTTAATTGACACAGGGGCATCGGCGACCATTATATCTGATTTGATTTATAACATCCTTCCCGTTCAAAGTCGTCCCTTGCTCCCTGTTGACGTGCCATGCTATGCTGCTAACGGGGGCTCGCTGGGCATTATTGGGCAAATCCGCGCCACTATCTGCATTGGAGACATTAAATTATCCGGGCCTGTTTTGGTTTCCTCCTCACTCGCGGTTCCGTGCCTGTTGGGGACGGATTTCTTGGCCAAAATGCCCATCCGCATCCTGATTGACCAGGGGTGCATTGAGCTCCCATCGGGCCGACGCGTTACATTTTTGTCTTCCCCCACCACGGAGCGCCGGGCGTTTGCCACCGTGCAGGCGCTCGTGACAAAAACTGTGCGCGTACCTCCGGGGGCTCAGATGCTTGTCCCTCTTAGGTTGCGTCGGCCGTTTAATGAAGGGGTTGCGGATCGGGGGGTCTTGTTGGGACCATCTCGGGCCGGGGTAAATGGACCCGATTTGCTCGCGGCTCAGACCATGGTGAGAGGGGATGGGGACCCCTTCATTGCAGTCCTTAATGTGGGATCGCGAACGGCCGTGGTTCCTCAAGGGACCGTGCTTGCACACGCAACGCCGGTACCCTATGAGGAACCACTCGTGGGTCAGGTATCCACCGATCCTCCGTCACGACCGCATTCGGACTGTGATGACGGATGGCTGGATGCGCTTTGCGCGGGTTCAGTGGACCTGTCCGACTCGCAGCGCGCGCAGCTGCGAGTTCTCCTGAGCGAATTTGCTGACGTTTTTAGTCAACACAAATTTGATATTGGTTGTACTAAATTGCTGCGACACCATATTGACACGGGTGACAGCGCGCCAATCCGCCAAAATCCCTTTCGGTTGAGTCCCGCCGAAAAGGATCATGTCAAATCGGCTGTTGATGACATGCTAGCCGCCGATATCATTTCCCCTTCCAACAGCCCGTGGGGCGCGCCGATCGTTTTGGTGAAAAAACATGACGGCTCACTGAGATTTTGTGTCGACTTTCGGCGTCTCAACAAAATCTCTGTGGCAGATGCGTACCCGCTTCCTCGGATGGATGAGTCGCTCGACGCCTTGGCCGGTGCGCGATTCTTTTCCACCCTCGATTTGCTATCAGGATTCTGGCAGCTTCCTCTGGATGACGAATCAAAACCTAAGACTGCTTTTCGTACACCGCAAGGTCTCTTCCAATTTAACCGCTTGCCGATGGGTTTACATTCTGCGCCGGCAACTTTTCAGCAGTTAATGGAATTGGTCTTGGCAGGTTTGCAATGGGATTCGTGTTTGATTTACTTAGACGATGTCATCGTCTTTAGCAAATCCTTCGAGGAACACCTCCAGAGGTTGCGTGCTGTTTTTCTCAAAATGCGGGCTGCCAATTTGAAATTTAAACCACAGAAGTGCCATTTACTCCGCGAATCGGTGCGATATTTGGGTCACATTGTTGGGCGCTCGGGGATATCCACTGATCCCGCCAAAACGGAATGCGTCAGCTCCTGGCCGACTCCCACCTCTGTGGGAGAGGTCAGGAGTTTCATTGGGTTCGCGTCGTATTATCGGCGATTCGTGGCTGACTTCGCTACGATTGCGAAACCATTGCATGCCTTGACGTCCAAGGGAGTCAGGTTTCATTGGGGGCCGGAGGAGGAGGCTTCTTTTCGCGCCCTCCGGAATGCTTTGGTGGGGGCTCCGCCGTTGAATTACCCGGATTTTTCACAACCCTTCTTGCTCGATACAGACGCAAGTAACACGGGCATCGGGGGCGTGCTGTCCCAGCTCATTGGGGGCGTAGAGCATGTGGTGGCTTACGGTAGTCGGGTACTGTCTCCAGCCGAACAGCGGTACTGCGTTACCCGTCGGGAATTATTGGCGATTGTTTATTTCATTCAGCAGTACCGCCCGTATCTGTACGGTCGGCGGTTCACCGTCCGTACAGATCATGCGGCCCTACAATACGCCCTGCGGGTTCAACAACCATCGGGCCAGTTGTCTCGATGGTTGGAGATTCTCCAAGACTATGACTTTGTCACCACATATCGTAAGGGTCTCCGCCACACGAACGCTGACGCCCTGTCGCGATTGCCACCTACTTCGGAGTGCGCGTGCCTCTTGGGTTCGGGGCGTTGTAGGTCTCCGAACGTCACCACCGATTCGGTCCTCGTGGCCGCTGCCGATGCGCCTTCAGTTTCGGGTCCTATCGAGCAAGAAGGGAGGGATTCGTTGCTGGGGTTGTCGGTCGCGGAATGGGGTCGCCTCCAAATGGAGGACACCTCCCTCCTCGCTCTGCACCGTCGCGCCGGGGGGGTTGGCCAGGGGGTGGAAAACGTTGACTCGTGGGGGTTGCTACATCTGTGTACGGAACTGGATGATCGCGCAGCGTTGTGGGATCAATTTGCATGAACGACGCTTCTATAAAATACGAATTTTGATGTGACGTCACATTTCTCAACCCCCCCCCCCCCCCTAGTCACACATCGTCACAAATGTCTGACCCCCTTCCCCCTAGGTGCGTGACGTGCTGGATGCAATTACCAGCGAAACGTCGTACAACTCAAATTGTAAATGTTGTGGTTTCACGCTTCAACACACCGGTGGGCTAAAGCAGTGAACTATTTTGTCTTTTGTCAACGTGACACTTTTTTACTGATTGGCCGTGTCGGGTGGTGGAGGGTTACGACACATTTATAAATAACGCGATCTAAACCCAAAAACGTTGATTATGAATATTGGTCGCGAAAGCTTACGTGTTAATCATTCATGATAGTCGTGTCACTTCTGAAATAAACTACATGGCTCAGTGGGGCCTGACCTGGGGAAAAACTGTTTAAAATGTTTTTTATTTTAGTTTGGTAAAGTAAAATAAATGTTTAGTTTCGTTTTAGTTACATGCACTTTGAGGATGAAAGACTCAATTAAGCTTTGTTAAATAATGGAGAAAACTTGTATTAAAATATTTGCATTCTTTGAGCTGTAGTCAAACCAGCGACCTCAGGATCTCTGCATCTCCTGGGGAAAAAAGTTTTCGATCTCGTTCGTCCGTTCATCGATCCGCTTGTCGTGATCAGGGTCGTGGCGGCCACGTGTTGAGTGGTGACGGTCCACGCCTCTCCCTTTCTCATGGCGACAGACCCTACCCAGCTCTTCCCTGGGCCATAGTTTAGTGTTCGTTCGGTAAAATAAAAACAGCAAACAAATTTATTTTTAGCTAAATGTACTTGGAGGAAGAAAGAATACACATACGTTGTTATTTTTAGAAAACAAAAATTGTTACAAAAATAATGCCTCCTTCGAGCCGGAGTCGAACCAGCGACCTAAGGATCTCGGCACTTCCTCTACAGTCCTCCGCTCTACCAACTGAGCTATCGAAGGCGCCACGACTGTTGCCGCCCTACACTCCCTACTTAAACACAACCACCCTACTCGACGTCACCACTTACAGGTCTCGCCGTCATCGGTTTACATATTTAATATACATTAATTGTGATCGTTGCCGAACAGAGTCTTTGCTCGCTGGCGTTGTTGAACAGCCACCCGTTGTTTTACCCCATCGGCCTTTAATCTCCCCAAAGAGCCGTGCTGATAGGCAGCTTCGCGTTACGTCATCACCGCCGCGTCATTGGCGATCCGCCCGCCATCTTAGTGAAGGACACGCGGGGGAGTGGAGACGGGGGAGGGGGGAGGGGGCGAGGGGAGGGGCCGCGTCGCCGCCTCCCCCCGAGGGCCTCCCCCTACCCAAGATGTCCGCGCGAGCTTCGGGTCCCATTCTTTTTTACGAAATGGCAGAACCGGCGCCGCGTGGTCCCTCTCGTCGCAGTCGGTGTGCGGCCCGGGTCGGTGGCGGTCTCCCCTCTCTCCCCCTCCCCTCTCCTGACCCCCTTTACCCCCTACAGCGACCCCCCCAGCAGAGGACCCCCGAGTAGAGACCCCCTAGAGAACCCCCATAGAGAGGACCCCTCTAGAGAAGCCCTCTAGACGATCCCCCTAAAGAGGACCGCCCTAGAGGATCCCATAGCAGAGGACCCCGAGACGATCCCTCCCCCCCTAGTAGAAGACCCCCTCAGAGGCCCCCCTAGAGAACATCCTATAAGAGAGGACCCCCCTAGAGAGGACCCCCCCCATCTTAACCCTCAGCGGACACTCCCACTCACCCTGCTGCCGCTGGCTCGGTGGTTTGGATGAACCCGACCCCTCTCCAGCTCCAACGGACCCCCCCAACCCCCTACACCACCAGCTCCCCCCCATCGCAGCTGATCCCCATGCCGACCCAGGGCACCAGCGGCACCAGCGGCAGCAGCAGCAGCAGCGGTCTCTTCTACGGCTGCGACAGCTCCAGCGAGTTCCTGTCTCGCAAGCCGCAAACATCGGCCGACCCGACCTCGTGGGCGTCGCGCGTCGCTCTGCTGCAGCTGTCCGCCACGAGCGCGGCCAAGAAGAAGACGAAGAAGAAGAAGTCCCGCGGGCAGAGCGCCAAGATGCGGCGCATCGTGGGCCGGAGGAGGCAGCTGGAGACGGAGAGGCAACAGCAGCAGCAACAGGAGCAGCAGCTGCAGTTGATGCGTGCCGGTGGTGGTCGTGATGGTGACGGTGGCGAGAGGATCCAGACGGACATTGGTGGTAGTGGTGGAGGTAGTGGTGGAGGTAGTGGTAGTGGTGTAGGTAGTGGTGGTGGTGGTAGTGGTGGAGGTAGTGGTGGAGGTAGTGGTGGAGGTAGTGGTAGTGGTGTAGGTAGTGGTGGTGGAGGTAGTGGTGGTGGTGGCGGCGGTGGTGGTAGTGGTGGTGGCGGTGGTGGAGGTAGTGGTGGAGGTAGTGGTAGTGGTGTAGGTAGTGGTGGTGGAGGTAGTGGTGGTGGCGGCGGTGGTGGTAGTGGTGGTGGCGGTGGTAGTGGTGGAGGTAGTGGTAGTGGTGTAGGTAGTGGTGGTGGAGGTAGTGGTGGAGGTAGCGGTGGTGGAGGTAGTAGTGGTGAAGGTTGTGGTGGTGGTAGTGGAGGTAGTGGTGGTGGAGGTAGTGGTGAAGATTGTGGTGGTGGTGGAGGTAGTGGTGGTGGTGGTGGAAGTAGTAGTGGTGGCCTTGAGAGCTCCTGGAGCGAGGAAGTCGACCTGGAGGACCTGGACTCCGGGCCAGACGCGGCCCTGACGGGGCCTGGGGCCCCCGCGGCGGCCTTCGCTCGGCGGGGCCGGCGACTCGGCGGCCCAGGCCGGGCCACCGACGGCGGCCCTCGCCGTGGCCGCCACGAGGAGCGCCGGGCCACGGCGGGCCCAGCGGAGAGGCCGTGGGGCCTCGACACAACTCCCGGCACGACGAGCCGACGCGTCGGGGCTCGATCCAAGCGCAGGGCCCACGTGCTGGGGTCGGCCAGCCGCTTGGCCGAGCACCGCTCTGGATTCCCAATGGCCACCAACAATATCACCGCCGATATCACCACAAATACCACCACCAATACCACCTCCGCCACCACCAATTTCACCGCCACCGCCAATATCACCAATTTCACCACCGCGAATACCACCACCAATACCACCGCCACCACCAATATCACCACCACCGCCACGAACGAACTCGAACAGCCACAACAATGTCCCTCGGCTGTTGCAGGAAGTTCTAGAGATCCCACCACCACCAACAACAATGTTGTCATTGACAATCACCTCCCCCGAGCAGCAGTACGCGCCGTGGTGCCACCACCGCACAAGCTGGTGGCCGTGGACTGCGAGATGGTGGGTCTGGGTCCCGGCGGGTGCCGGGGCGCGCTGGCGCGCTGCAGCGTGGTGGACTACCACGGCTCGGTGCTGTACGACGGCTACGTGCGCCCAGAGGAGCCCGTGACCGACTACAGGACCAGGTGGAGCGGCATCCGGCCCAGCCACATGCGGGACGCCACTCCGTTTCGAGCGGCACAAAAAGAGGTGATTTAAAAAAAAAATTTTTTTATTGTTTTTACTAAACCATCCATTCTCTAAGAATACTTTGGTCAACCAGTTCGCCCCTACCAATGGCCTGGTCGCTTCGGAAAATAAAGAAAATCTATACGGGCTTATGAACACAATTCGTTCCTGAGACCCGTTCGTAAGGAGGAGCTGGTTCGTAAGTCGGGAACACAATATGATAGTCCTCGGGTTCCGAACACAATTTGTTCCGGAGGCTCGTTCGTAAGTCGAACACATTCGTAAGTAGGCCTCGGCAAGGCAAGGTAAAAGTTAAAAGGTAAAAACAACGAGCCTACCTTTACCCTACCTTTTACCCTTACGCCCTACAAATAACCCAATTACAGGGTAATTACTGGGGCACTACTACACATGGACAAGGTTTACAGCGGTAAATGCTGGGTAGAGCGCTTTATTCATATAGAATACTCTCGATTATTCCAATTTTATACGCTTGTTGTTGTTGTCGTCGTTGTATCCTCAAATATTGTAACTAAATTTTTACCCACTTCCTAATGGGGTATCGACTGCAAACTTGGTATACTTAAGTCATACTGATGACAATACTATATTCTATCATAAAATCCTTTTTTATATGTTTTGTTTCGGCTTGGGTCTAATTGTCCACGCTCAACTGACGTTGGCTGTGAATCACCACGGCCCCTTACGTTACGGCAAGCTTCGGGGCCACTTCCTGGAGTCGTGGAGTTCTGCCATTACTAGTACATTTCATAAAAGCGTCTTTTTAAGAAAGTTTGTTTTAATATTACTTATTAAATGGAGGCCACGGACTGCGCCACGGAGCTTCTAGCGGTAAATAAGGCACCGTATTTACCGGGTAACACTTCGCGCTACCTTTACCCGACCCTTTACCTTACCCCTTGGCATGTCGACACCTTTACCCTACCGGGTAATTCTTCCGAGCTACCTTTACCCGACCCTTTACCTTACCCCTTGGCATGTCGACACCTTTACCCTACCGGGTAATTCTTCCGAGCTACCTTTACCCGACCCTTTACCTTACCCCTTGGCATGTCGACATCTTTACCCTTTACCCGGTAAAAAGGGTAAATTACCTTACCTCGCCGAGGCCTATTCGTAAGTCTGGAACCAATATGATAGTCCTCGATTCCCAACACAATTCGTTAATGATGCTCCATTCGTAAGTCGGGAACCAATATGCCAGTCCTCGGGTTCTGAACACATCTACATCTACAAAACGTGAAGAACCAGTGGCATCTACATTTGTAGAACGTGAAGAACCAGTGGCATCCACGTCTGCAGAACATGAAGAACCAATGGCATCTACAACTACAGGAGATTATTCAACTTTTAAAGCCATTTCCCATATTTAGTGTACACGCCGTACAACGTGTTTGGAAACGACAGGAGTAAAGTTGGACTTGCAAACGAATGTACTTACGGACAGACCTCCTGAACCTAGCTTGTTTGTAAGTAGAGGAAGCCCTCTCGTTTCACTAGTTGAGTTTATTTGTTTTAACGCACGACGATGGAGGTTCCCCATCGCCAAATGCAGTTACTCATTATTCTTAATTCGTTAGAATTTGTTGTCATAATTTATATTTTTAATATAGCGTCGTTCGTGCACAAAACTGCATCTGAACTACAAACAACTTTTCTTTATTTTACCAGATAATGTGGAAATGTATAGCAGCCAAATACTGTAATCGGATGTTGATTCTAAATGTGGAGGGGAAAAACTGGAGGACCCTGGATAAAAATCCACGCGACCACGGCGAGAGAGAGAAATGCAAACTCGGGTCGGGATCGAAACCACGACATCCTGTATACCAGGCGAGGTAGTTAGCATCTCGCCAACCTGGCACCCCAACATACTTGAAATGTTTTTTAAGCTTATTTCGCACCGTACGTAGCCAACCGTGCTAATCAGAGGTGCGGGTGGTGCAGCGTTTTATCTGTGTGAACATTTTAACTCCCTCGCCTGATATGCAGGAGGTCGTGGTTTTGATCCCACCTGCTGTATATTTGGAGCTGGCGTGTCTCTCTCTCCACGTGGTCGTGTGGATTTTTTGCCGGTGGTCCTCCGGTTATAACCTCCACGTTTAGAATCAACATCACGCGTTCAGAGCATTTGCCTGCGATAAATGTCCACGTGATGATGATGACGATAATCCACTTCGTTGAGCCATCATTTCTGATTGCCAGGATTGCTTCTGAAAAAGAGCAGCATCACAGCTCAGCGGGGGCATTACGTGGTGAAATAAAACAAAATAGTTAAGTTGAGTTAACGGGTGGTGGAGGGTTTTTACAACGATGAGCAGTTTTTGGCTTTCAACTCCAACCGTGCGGCCTTGCCCAAAAAATAATAATCACGAGCGTGGATCCCGTTCGGCCTGTCAGGCGCATGTTCCACCCTCCTGCTGTACCACCACCACCACCCTGTACCACCACCACCCTGTACCACCACCACCCTCCTCCCCCTGTACCACCACCCTCCCCCTGTACCACCACCACCATCCCCCTGTACCACCACCACCCTGTACCACCACCCTGTACCACCACCACCCTGTACCACCACCCTATACCACCACCCTGTACCACCCCCCTCCCCCTGCTGTACCACGCAGATTGTGCAGCTGCTGCACAACAAGGTGGTGGTGGGCCACTCGATCGCCAACGACTTCCGCGCGCTGGGCTACGTGCACCCGACGGAGCGCACGCGCGACACCGCCTCGCTGGTGGAGCTGCGGCGCCGGGCGGGCCTGCCGCTCGGCCAGCCCGCCTCGCTCAAGCGCCTCACCAAGCTGCTGCTCTACCGCGACATCCAGGCACGGACACTCGCCCACGTGCTCGCCCGCTCGCTCACTCATCCGCTCGCTCATCCGCGCGCTCACTCATCCGCTCGCTCATCCGCTCATCTGCTCGCTCGCTCATCCGCTCGCTCATCCGCTTGCTCGCTCCTCCGCTCGCTCATCCGCTCGCTCATCCGCTTGCTCGCTCCTCCGCTCGCTCATCCACTTGCTCACTTGTTCATCCACTTGCTTACTCACTCATCCATTTGCTCGCTTGCGTACTCGCTCGTCCTTTTGCTCGCTCTCGCCTCCACTTGCTCACTCATCCACTCGCTCGCTCCTCCGCTCCCTCATCCGCTGATTCGCTCGCTCATCGACTTGTTTATTCGCTTGCTTATACATTTGCTCCTCCTTGCTCACTCGCTCCTCCACTCGCTCCATCATCCGCTTGCTCGCTCGCTCCTCATCTTACTCGCTCACTCATCCACTTGTTTACTAGCTCGCTCATCAACTTACTCGCTCGCTCTTTCGCTTACTCGCTCATCTGCTTGCTCGCTCTCTCAACCTCTTGCTCGCTCATTTATCCGCTCGCTCATCTGCTCGCTCACTCTCTGGCTCATCCGCTGGCTCACTCTCTGGCTCATCCGCTGGCTCGCTCGATCACCCGGCTAACGATCCACCGCCACTGCTTCTCACGTCGCCGTCCACCCACGCAGCTGGTCACTTGCTCACCGACGGTCCACCTCGCTCACTCACCTCACTCGCTCACCTCACTAGCTCACCTCACTAGCTCACCTACGGTCCACCTCGCTCGCTCACCTCACTCGCTCACCGCACTCGCTCACCTCACTAGCTCACCTCACTCGCTCACCTACAGTCCACCACGCTCACTCACCTCACTCGCTCACCTCGCTCACTCACCTCACTAGCTCACCTCGCTCACTCACCTCACTCGCTCACCTCGCTCACTCACCTCACTCGCTCACCTCGCTCACTCACCTCACTCGCTCACCTCGCTCACTCACCTCACTAGCTCACCTACGGTCCACCTCGCTCGCTCACCTCACTCGCTCACCGCACTCACTCACCTCACTAGCTCACCTCACTCGCTCACCTACAGTCCACCACGCTCGCTCACCTCGCTCGCTCACCTCGCTCACTCACCTCACTAGCTCGCCTACGGTCCACCTCACTCGCTCACCTCGCTCGTTCGCCTGCAAACCGACCTAACCATCGCCACGCTCACTCCCCGCTCACCACCACCGCTCACCGTGTGCGCGTGCGGCCGTGTCGGCACGCAGGTGGGCAGGCACGGCCACTCGTCGGTGGAGGACGCGCGAGCCACCATGGAGCTGTACCGCCTCGTGGAGTCTCAGCTGGGAGCCACCGCCGCTCCCTGAGCCGCCACTTCGACGGCCCCCGTCATCGTCACGGCGACGGCCCCCGTCGTCGTCACGGCGACGGCCCCCGTCGTCGTCACGGCGACGGCCCCCGTCGTACCTCCCCCCCCACCTCCTCCCCCCATCATGAGAGACCAGGAAGGAGAAGGGGGTGGAATGGAGTTGTGGTCGCGCTCCCTCTGCGTTAGCCCCCCATTAGAAACCAACAACAACAACCACAACAACAACAACCACAAAAACAACAACCACAACAACCATGACAACCACCACAACAACCATGACAACCACCACAGCAACCACCACAACCACGATATCAACCACTACAACAGCGACGACAACAACAGCCACAACAACAACAGCCACCAGGCCAGCACCGATGACGTGCCCCCCCACGGCATCCTGGATGCCAATCCCTTTCCGCGCTCATCGCGGTTGTGGATCGGGGGAGGTGGAACTCAAACTAATAAACATAATTTTTACTTAAAAAAACTAAAACTAAACTATCTTTATTTTACCAGGTAAGGGCCCCCGCTCAGCTGCGACGTAGCTCAGACGCGACCCTGCCCATCACAAATGGTCGCTCAACTAATGTGGGCTCATCATCAAGTGAGATTTGATAGCAGCAGCAGCAGCCACATCCTGCGACCGCGTGAAGTTGGTTCTAAATGGGGAGGGAAACACCGGAGGAACCCGGAGAAAAGTCCACGCGACCACGGGGAGACGGAGAGAGAGACGCAAACTCCAAATATACAGCAGCAGCAGGCGTCAGGGTCGGGATCGAACTCACGACCTCCTGCACACCAGGTGAGGTAGTTAACATCTCCTAGCCACCGTGATGATGATGAGAGAGAGAAACGCAAACTCCAAATATACAGCAGGCGTCAGGGTCGGGATCGAGTCTCCGATCTCCTTTAGACCAGGCGAGGTAGTTAACTGTTTAACGAAAACTAAATTATTTTATTTTCCCAGGTAAGGTCCCACTGAGCTACGATTTAGCTCGTCCTTAGAAGCGACCTGGCAATCACAAATGATCGCTCAACGAAGTTGGCTTATCACCATCATCACCACCATCACCATCGTCAACATCGTCACCATCGTCAACATCATCACCATCACCACCACCATCATCACCATCACCACCATCATCACCACCATCATCACCACCATCACCATCATCACCATCACCACCATCACCACTATCATCACCATTATCATCACCATCATCACCACCATCATCATCACCATCATCATCACCACCATCATCATCACCATCATCACCACCATCACCACCATTGTCACCATCATCACCATCATCACCACCACCACCATCGTCACCATCATCACCATCATCACCACCATCGTCATCACCATCACCACCATCACCATCATCATGCTGAAATGTATAGCAGCAGCCAAATAATCCTAAACGCGTATTTTCTAAATTGGTGGTCGCCATCCAAATTTGATGATTCTTAGAATTGTTGGGTCAGGACGTTATTCACAATCTTGGCCACTGCCTGATTATGCTGCTTGTAACTACCAGCGATAATTCGGACTAGCCACGTGTCCAGTGTGTGTGTGGATCGCTGTCCGACATACTGAAGGGCAGTCGTACATTGGCACGGATGATCATCGCGCTCCAACTTTATCCGTTGGCTGTGTCGGGCGGTGGAGGGTGTATGACAACACGTTTTGCTCACGCGAGTAATATTTTAAAATGAAATGTTTTATTTTACAAAAAGTCATTTATTCTTTCAACTCCCCGAGTAAATGTAACGCGCAGACTCGCGCGGCGTGGACATTTTTAGTAGCAGACAAATTGCTCTGAATGCACGACGTTGATTTTAAATGTGGAGGGGACAAAACCGGAGGAAACCCGTTGGAAAAAATCCACGCGGCCACCACAGAGAGAGAGAGAGAAAGAGAGTCATCACAAACTCGAACATTTTTAAGAGGCATTGCCAGGAGTCGGAATCAAACCCACAAGTGACCTCCTGTATTTAATTCTAGATTTGAAGCTTTCGTGACTGCAAGGATTTATATTCTTAGGTTTTTTCGGTAAAGTCACGTAGGTAAAAAATTTAAATTAATAAAAGTAAAATAAAATAAATATTTTTCTTTTATTCATTAATTTTTTTTACCTACGTGACTTTACCGAAAAAACCTAAGAATACGACCTCCTGTATGCCAGGCGAGGTCGGTAACATCTCCTAGCCACCGTGGCGCCCTCACGGGGACCGCACGCTCGCTTGCTCCGCTGCCGCCAGGCCCGCTCGCTCCGTGTCGCGATCACGGCCACGTTACTTCTGGCTTCGTGAGTCTGGGGGCGGTACCTGTGTGTGTTGAACTGCTCTTGGATGTACTCTGTGTGGCTGTGTGTGTGTGTGCCGAACCGTACGTAGCCAACATCGTTCATCGGAGGTGCGGGTGGCGGAGGGTTTTTGGCTTTCCGACCAGCGCAGCCTCGCCCCAAGTCGTTTTTATCGCGAGCGTGGAGACGGTTCGGCCCGTCGCGCGCACGTGTGCCACCTTGTGCCACCACCCTCCTCCGCCTCTACCACCACCCTCCTGTACCACCACCCTCCTGTACCACCACCACCTGTACTACCACTCTCCTGTACCACCTGTACCACCACCCTCTACCACCACCCTCCACCACCTGTACCACCACTCTCCTGTACCACCTGTAACACCACTCTCCTCCACCACCACTCTCCTCCACCACCACCCTCCTGTACCACCTGTACCACCACTCTCCTCTACCACCACCCTCCTCCACCACCACCCTCCACCGCCACCTGTACCACCACCCTCCTGTACCACCTGTACCACCACTCTCCTCTACCACCTGTACCACCACTCTCCACCACCACCACCCTCCACCACCACCTGTACCACCACCCTCCACCACCACTTGTACCACCACCCTCCTCCACCACCTGTACCACCACTCCTGTACCACCACCCTCCTGTACCACCTGTACCACCACCCTCTACCACCAAGGTGGTGGTGGTGGTGGGGGTTGTGGTGGGGGTGGGTGGGGGTTGTGGTGGGGGTGGGTGGGGGTGGGTGATGGGTGGTGAACTTGATGACCTCGTTCACCTCGATGACATCAATGACCTCGTTGACATCGATATGTCATCGAGATTATCAGTGTCATTGATGACGTCGCTGCCATCGATGACCTCTGACCTCTTTGACCTTGTTGGCAGCGACGACCGATGACGCCATTGCAGGTGTCCTGGTGAACAAGGGGGGGGGGGGGCGGTGTAGGTTCGGCCTCGTGATCTGGGCCCAGCCGCGTGAATCGTTTTAATAACAATCTCGTGGTTCATACTCTTAGGCCTTTTCGGTAAAGTCACATGGGTAAAAAAATGATAGAAATAAAATAAAAATCACGACGTTTCGGAGGCAACACAAGCTTCCGTCTTCAGGTGGAACCGTCACAGCACGATTGCTGTATCAAGTAAAGAGAGGACCTTATATGCCTCCGAAACGTGATTTATTATTTTATTTCAATTTTTTTTACCTACGTGACTTTACCGGAAAAAACCTAAGAGTATGAATTCTTGCAGTCACGAAAGCTTCCAATCTAGAATCTCATGTTTGCCTTTTTAAACGCGTCCGTTGAGCTCTGTCAGTAACGATAATTGTCGTAGATAAAATTTTATTCTTTAAATTTTACCAGTTGTAAGGCCCCCAGGATGAGCCATGCAGCTTTTTTTTCAGAAGCGACCTGGCACATCGCAAATGAAGTGGCTCATCCTGTGGAACATTATAGCAGCCAAATTACTCCATGAACGCATGATGTTGATTCTGAATGTGGAGAAAAATCCACGCGACCACGGGGAGAGAGACACGCAAACTCCAAATATACAGCAGCAGGCGTCAGGGTCGCGATCGAACCCACGACCTCGTGTACACCAGGCGAGGCAGTCAACATCTCCTAGCCGCCGTGATGAGAGAGAGAGAGACACGCAAACTCCAAATATACAGCAGCAGGCGTCAGGGTCGCGATGCAGTCAACATCTCCTCGCTACCACGGCGCCCTCTGGTTAGAGCCGCGCTATCGGGAGCGACCGCCGGCTTCATCATCCCGGCCGACAAAGACGAAGACCCCCTGTGAGGCCTGGAGCAGACGGACCAGGAGCCGCCCTCGTGCGCCGGTTGAGTCCACCACTCGGCACGCGATAGTCGCCAACGACCGTCCAAAGCCATTTGGCAGTGACGTCCACTAAGACGGTTTACTGATGAAAAGGATGAATACGCAACGGCGCGTGAAGGTGCCTTCACGTCAAGCCGACGTCGAGTTTATCGGGACGGCCGGGAACGTTTTCCTTCTTCATCCCGGGGTCCTGTTTTGCAAGGAGCTGCGATTTTGTTTGTCGTTTTGTGTTTGTTTTCTTTTTCGCTCAACGTGGACCCTGTCGGTGCTGCTAAGAACGTCGCCAATAAAACGACGCAGGTTCGACGCGGCTGCGGCGTCGGTCAGTCGCGATGCGCCCATCGGCATCCGCTTCTCCTCGCGTTTGCGCAGCGCACGCGCGTGCACGAGCAGAGAACCGCTTTGCCTCGTGCCCCTGGACCCGCGAACATGCAAAAACCCGTCGTCGTCGGGGAAACACGCGCAGGCGAGAGGACGCGAGTCGTCGACTCGGGCGGGCGGGTTGAAACGCAAACTTACTAAGCTACAAACTTACAAACTGCAAACTTACAAACTACAAACTTACTAACAAAGCTGTCTCGGGTGTGGACCAATCAACTTCAAGGACAGTGCATACATTATCAGAGTTATGGTTTTTGTTTGCATTATGACTGCAGGTATTGTGGTCTATGCAAACATGACTCCTTGTAAAAAAAAAAGTGTCAGTTTTGTTGCCAGATAAAAGGGTAAAAAAACAATGATCATATTTTTACTGGCAAAGGAGGTTCCATTGGTGACCCCGGAGATTTATCAAACAACAACATCCAAGATGGCGGCTTCTCGCCGGCCATGCCACAGGCACTCGACGTCTTATCCAGTGTCCAGGGAAATATGAACGAGTTCTTCCCCCCCCCCCCCCCCACGATTCCAGGCTTATGAGACACCATGTATGTATACAATGTACACGTCACGGCGTTCGTGCGTACAATGTACGATGGTACGCGCGGAATCTACGACCGGGTTTCCGAGTAAATCCCGGTTTTTTCGAAAAATTTCACCACGGGGTTAAAAACCACACGCACACTGCAACGTTCATCTTCACGACACCGACATACACAAAGACAAAGGTGCCCCACCCGAGATGTAGCCTTGACGGACTCTAGGGGGCAAGTGCCATTAGCGAGTGAGCACCCGGTGAAGGCCGACACTGTGACCACCGCGCCAGGCCGCCTTTGTCTCCCCAGCGCCATGACGTTTACTACACAACGCAGACAAGGTAATCGCCCTCGGTGGGTGTCCGTGTGTACCTCGAGCGGCAATCCACCGTTGGGGTTGACGGAACGCGTTAACCGCTGCACCCACCGCTCCCCACGAACGCGCAACGTTCAGAGGAGGAGTGGGGGGCAGCCAGAGCCCCCCATTCCCCGGCACTTTTTTCCAAGGGCGCGTCGCTGGCCGCCTCCTCGCCCGTGGCTTCGCCCTTCGCGGGGATCATCGCAGACTCCTGGCAGCGCCGGCGGGCGAGACGTCTTCGTCTGCGGTGCGATAAAAACCACAACAAACACTACAGATGGTGGCACGGTGTGGGTGGAGTGGTGGAGATGGTGACACGGTGTGGGTGGAGTGGTGGGGGGAGGGCATGGTGTGGGTGGAGTGGTGGAGATGGTGACACGGTGTGGGTGGAGTGGGGGGGTGGCACGGTGTGGGTGGAGTGGTGGGGGGGGTGGCACGGTGTGGGTGGAGTGGGGGGGGGGTGGCACGGTGTGGGTGGAGTGGTGGGGGGAGGGCATGGTGTGGGTGGAGTGGTGGGGAGGGTGACACGGTGTGGGTGGAGTGGTGGAGATGGTGACACGGTGTGGGTGGAGTGGTGGGGAGGGTGACACGGTGTGGGTGGAGTAGTGGAGATGGTGGCACGGTGTGGGTGGAGTGGTGGGGGGAGGGCATGGTGTGGGTGGGGGGGGGGCACGGTGTGGGTGGAGTGGTGGGGAGGGTGGCACGGTGTGGGTGGAGTGGTGGGGGGGGGGGTGGCACGGTGTGGGTGGAGTGGTGGGGGGGGTGGCACGGTGTGGGTGGAGTGGTGGGGGGGGTGGCACGGTGTGGGTGGAGTGGTGGGGAGGGTGGCACGGTGTGGGTGGAGTGGTGGGGAGGGTGGCACGGTGTGGGTGGAGTGGTGGGGGGGGGGGTGGCACGGTGTGGGTGGAGTGGTGGGGGGGGTGGCACGGTGTGGGTGGAGTGGTGGGGGGGATGGCACGGTGTGGGTGGAGTGGTGGGGAGGGTGGCACGGTGTGGGTGGAGTGGGGGGGGGGTGGCACGGTGTGGGTGGAGTGGTGGGGGGGGTGGCACGGTGTGGGTGGAGTGGTGGGGAGGGTGGCACGGTGTGGGTGGAGTGGTGGGGGGGGGGGGTGGCACGGTGTGGGTGGAGTGGTGGGGGGGGTGGCACGGTGTGGGTGGAGTGGTGGGGGGGGGGGTGGCACGGTGTGGGTGGAGTGGTGGGGGGGGTGGCACGGTGTGGGTGGAGTGGCTTGGGGGGAGGGCATGGTGTTGGTGGGGGGGGGGCACGTGGTGGTGGAGTGGGTGGGGGGGTGGCACGGTGGTTGGGTTGAGTGGTGGGGTGGTGGCACGGTGTGGGTGGAGTGGTGGGGGGCGGGCATGGTGTGGTGGTGGGGGGGCACGGTGTGGTGGCGTGGTGTGGGTGGGTGCACGGTGTGGTTGAGTGGTGGGGGGGGGGTGGAACGTGTGGCGTGGAGTGGGGGGGGAGTGCATTGTGTTGTGGGGGGGTTAGCACGGTGTGGGTGGAGTGGTGGGGGTTGTGGGCACGGTGTTGGTGAGTGGGGTGGGTGGGGGGGGATGCACGGGGTGGGTGGAGTCGGTTGGGGCGGAGGGCCATGTTGGGTGGGGCGGGGTGGCACTGTGTGGGGGAGTGGTGTGGAGGGTGGGCACGGTGTGGGTGGAGTGGTGGGGAGGGTGGCACGGGGGTGGGTGGAGGTGTGGGGAGGGTGGCACTGTGTTGTGTGAGTGGGGGGGCATGGTGTGGGTGGGGGGGTGGCACGGTGTGGGTGGAGTGGTGGGGAGGGTGGCACGGTGTGGGTGGAGTGGTGGGGAGGGTGGCACGGTGTGGGTGGAGTGGTGGGGAGGGTGGCACGGTGTGGGTGGAGTGGGGGGGGGCACGGTGTGGGTGGAGTGGTGGGGGGGGTGGCACGGTGCGGGTGGAGTGGTGGGGGGGGGTGGCACGGTGTGGGTGGAGTGGTGGGGGGGGGTGGCACGGTGTGGGTGGAGTGGTGGGCGGGGGGTGGCACGGTGTGGGTGGAGTGGTGGGGGGGGGGTGGCACGGTGTGGGTAGAGTGGGGGGGTGGGGGGGTGGCACTTGTGGGTGGAGTGGTGGGGGGGGCACGGTGTGGTGGGGGGGGTGACTCTACGAACGTTGTTCAGAGGCGGGGAACTCCAGGAGGGAAGCGAGTGGCTGCAGGCGCACAACGGCAGCAAGAGAGCGAAGAGTCGGAAAGTGACACCAAGGTTTCGAGTGCAGGTCGGACGGGAGGGGTGGGGGGGTCAAAGGGGGAAGGGGGAGGGAGGTGCGAGGCGGGGATGGAGGGACTATGAGACCGATCTCGACGCCGTTGCCAGCTGGCCTGGAGGGTTTTGACTAAAAGAAAGACGTAGAAGTAGTAGACGGAGCGGCTGGGCTGGCTGTGGTCGGTCAGCGACGAGCAGAGGTCGCAAACGGGTTTTGATTCCTTACCCCCCGTACCCGTTCCCTACCTGTACCCGTACCCTACCCGAAATGAGTGACAAACGGTGACTCACCAGTGACTCACGGTCTACCCGTACCCGTACCCGGCCGCACCAGGGTCGCAAACGGCTACCCGTACCCGGTCGGGTACGGGTAGCCGGTAGACGAGACGCGAGTCTCTGCGAGTCCAAGGGCAGCAAGGAGGTTGAACGACAGGAAAGCGTCGCGTGTTCAAGTCGATGATGGGGGGGGGGGGGGTCGCATCGCCACCCGCTCCGTGGATCGATTGGCAAACGACTCGGCACGGGCGGTTAACCCGCAACATTGCGATTACGTTATCACGCGGTCTCGTTGGTGTTTGTTCATGATGGATCGGCTGAGCGGGAATCGATCACGATCTCGATGAATGATCCACGATGCCCGTGTGTGGGCGAACGACACATTGCCCTTTGGTCAAAAGCCACGGACGCTTGCATGTTACACGGGGGGTGGCAAATCTCTGACGGGTGATTTCGTCGGGGGTCCGATTCTATCGCCCTCGCGACCAATATCACCGACAATAGAGGTTTTATTTGCTTGGGTTAGGGCGCGTAAAATACGAATGTGTCGTCGTGCAAACGCCTCCGCCACCACCCGACACGCAGCCAACCGGCGAGGGGTTTGTCGCGTAAACAAACGCGCGGCTAATGAGTCACTAGCTCGGCACTCACCGGGTGAGTGCTGGAGAGTTAAACCCACGGCGTCATTTACAATCACGTGACTTTAGCGAAAGAACCAAAGAATTTGAGTCGCGTGACGTTTCGCCGGTAATTGCAACAACCACCACCAGCATCATCAGGCGACAGCCAGCACCACCCCCCCCCCCACCTGCCCCCCCCCCCCAGCCTGCCCCCCCCACCCCCTCCCCCACCTGCCCCCCCCACAACCTGCCCCCCCTACCTTCCCCCCCCCAACCTGCCCCCCCACCTGCCCCACCCCCCCACAACCTGCCCCCCCTCCCCCACCTGCCCCCCCCAACCTGCCCCCCCACCTGCCCCCCCCTCCCCCACCTGCCCCCCCCAACCTGCCCCCCCTCCCCCACCTGCCCCTCCCAACCTGCCCCCCCCAACCTGCCCCCCCTCCCCCACCTGCCCCCCCCAACCTGCCCCCCCAACCTGCCCCCCCCTCCCCCACCTGCCCCCCCCCAACCTGCCCCCCCTCCCCCACCTGCCCCTCCCAACCCGCCCCCCACCTTCCCCCCCTCACCTTCCCCCCCCAACCTGCCCCCCCCACCTCCCCCCCTCCACCATCCCCCACCCCCCCCCCTGCCCCCCCCCACCTGCCCCCCCCCACCTGCACACACAGCAGAGGGCGACGCCGACGACCGCCAGCGCCAGCAGCGCCAGCGTAGCCACGGCGACGGTGGCTCCCGTGGACAGGCCGAGCCCCGCTGGGCCCTGCTTCTCCAGCGTCATGGTGTCACAGCGCAGGCCCTCGAACCCCGCCAGGCACCTGCGGGCGACAGCGGCCCCGCAGGGCACAAGGGCCGGGGGCCAGAAGGTTTGCCGATGGCGAGTCGAACTCAATCTGTGCTCCGCCAATCATCGTGGTGTTTTAA